GGAAGCATTGGCTATTGTTTTGGATTCCACCACTGCCGGATCACACCCCTTTGGCCGCAGGCCAATGCTACAGCTGAAAGATTCATGCGTACACTGAGCAAAGCTATACGTGTAGCCGAAACACAAGGAATTCCCTGGAAACAACAACTGAACATCTTCTTACATGAATACCGATCTACACCTCACAGCACAACAGAAAGCTCCCCTGCTGAACTATTGTTCCAGCACAAGGTGTACAAGAAGATTCCCTAATTTGCTCACTCAGCAAGGAACCATTCAGACTCTGAAGTGAGAGCAAAGGACAACAAGGCTAAAGCCAAGATGAAATCACATGCAGACTCCCATCGTCATGCTGTACCACATACTCTCTCTCCAGTTGACACTGTGCTTCATCAAGCTCACCACACCATACACTGCCAAGCCATACTCTGTGACCAAAGTCAAAGGCTCTATGGTTACAGCAGCCAGAAATGGACACTACATCGTCAGGAACGCCTCCTTCTTCAAAAAGATAGCCCTGGAGCTGTTGGACATAATGCAAGATCCTGGTGACAATACTATTCGTGATAACAGTGACGCCTCTACTGTCACCTCACCACAAAGGTACCCTTTGAGGCAGAACAGATGTCCTTCTACCTACCTACCTCCAGGACTACACATAGCTTATGGACTGTTATGAACTTATAAGAGACTTGTTTGGTCAAGATTAAAAGACATGTCACTTTCATTTAAAAAGATTTGCAATGCATCTTTTAATATGTATTTCATTTGTGATTATCACTAATATGTGTTGGCTGAAAGTGTAAAGGCAAAGTGTTTAATTCTACTCATTAGCTTTATGTCTGAATAAGTACAATGTTCAGTACAGTCAGAATGATTTGAAATTACTGCAGAATGTTGGTTTAAAATTCAGCAGTTAGCATTGTGTCAAAGTGTGAAAACATAATGTTCGGTATTTGCTAAAAAAAAAAGAAAAAGGGCAATGTGATGTTCAGAGTATATTTGAATGTTTGGCAGTCAAACTACGCCACCTGTTGGTAGTGTGAGTACACAGCATGGTTCGGTGCATATAGAAAGCCGGGACAATAAACAAAGTTTCTGTTCAACATGTCGTTGTTCTCCTGGTTCATAACTATGCAACAGAAACATTACACTACGGTTTTATCTTAGGCTCACTACAGAGTTAATACAATTTAGATATGAGGATTATATCCCATTTTTAGCAAAGAGAGCCTTAGAAAACCTCAGGCATCTTACACACTGCTGTACACCCGAAAATCAGTCACACCGCAAAATAAACTTTGATCGAACCGGACGACTTCACCAAAGGATGTATTATGAAAGTGTTGGTTATGTCTGCTTTAAGAAGTCAAACTCCTTGACCTGCAAGCGTATTCATTATCAACCGAGGATCAATTAACGAGAGAGACTCTGGTGGAATGAGACTGTTCACGGGACGAGAACGGGAAGCAAAGATATCGGAAATTCATCTCTTTTCTACCGAATATGTGAGATCCGGGAAGGGATCAAGCTTCTGGACAGACTGACCGGGATGAGCTTCTTGTGGCTGAAACTGGCAGTTGGAATGTACACGCTTTCAGATTAAAATGATTTCAAATTGGAAACTTGTTGAATGATGCACCTGGTGACCTGTGGGTTCGCTGAGGAAACAGAGAGGGGATCTGGTTTGAGAAGTGAAATGTCAGGAAGGGACAGAGTTGTGTGATCTGCTGCAAGAATTACAGGAGATCATATGAGAGTCTCTGCGATCACATCGAGTAATTCAGGCCAATTCAAGTGTGTTTTAAATTGAACTTTGTACGACGTGATTTTGCTGGAAAAGGATTTGTGATACTGATAGAATACGTTCCTTCCATTTCTCAGATTAGCGAATTAACGCCAGATAACATCGAGCTCTTGTCGATTCATATTTTTTAGACAAAGCAAATTGTGTTATGGTTAATGCTAAAGCAATGAGGAACTGCTGATCTACAGTCTCTGTTTGGATGCGGATCACTGATCTGATGAGATTGGCAGTGATTAAATCACTGTAGTGATGCTTTATCGCACTCAGGATGTCAGAATAAGGATAGATGAATGTCTTTGCCTTGTAATACTTCTGATTTGAGCCGTGTGGAAATATTAGCAGACTGAGGTGTGTGTGGCCCACATACAGCCGGACCTGGGCTGCTGCAGCATTTTTGAGGGTTTTATATATGAGTGTCAATGTTCTGCAAGGTGTTACTTCTCTTTGTTGGGAGCTTGGAAGAAGCTGCTTTGTTAGTCCTTAGTTCGGCTGGGGTCACTGGATCATGCTCAATCTGCGATCAGGTAGAATTGATGAACAGCTTGCAGCTTGCTTGAACCGCTGGCTCATGGAGCCAAGAAAGATAGAAGGGGGTGATATTTAGTATCATAAATAATACATACATAAATAAATAATAATAAATAAGAGACATCAATAATAAAATTTATTTCCACATTTATTTATTTCTGTGTCCCTATACCAATGAGAAAAGCGGTCCTCATGCAGGATTGGTCACAAGAGTGTGATGATCTAGTTCAACTACTTTTGCCTTTCAATGCAAGCTGTTGTCCAGTAGAGTTGCTGTTTGCAGTGTTGTGCCAGTTCACACTTTAAAAGAACTAGTTCAAAGTTCAGTTCATGCAGTTTAAAATGAACTGGTTCACATTCATTGTTAATTGCTTATGATCATGTGTTAAGTTATTAATCGATGGTGTCGGATCATGTATGCACGTCGCTCCGCTCATTTTAACTGAGTAATGAAGTTCAGCATTAGTTCAGTCAGCAAGATTTAAACTGCTCATTGATCAGCTGATTATGGATGTTCCTAAATGGCAATTGAAATCCACCAAGGTCTCTTCCAGCAATCATGCAGCAGCTGTCAAACTTTAAATGCCTTTTCCTCTCTTCCGCAGTCAGCTGTCATTCAGTGACACACATAACCCTCCTCCACTCCAATCTCCTTCGGTCTTCAGCAGAATCGTCATCACTTCATCCGGATCCCCGACCTCAACTGATTGTGATCTTGTGTATAATCCTGTATCGTGTGGCAGGCAATCATGGATCACGATGATGGATCCCGATAGTGTTAGTGGATCATGACTATGGATTGTGGATCATGGTGGCATCTGATCATGGTGGCAGCTGATTGCGGAATTAATTCAACAAGATTGTCTGACACATTATATCTATTACACACAGCATCTGTCATGGGTCGATGTTTAAAAGAGGAGGAACTGAGTCGTCTTGCTGAGAATGAGCTGGTTTATTAACTGACTTTTACTTGCCACAGCTAATCGAACATAACACAGGCACATACACTGCATGCCCCGTAAACGCCTCTTGATGATGTCACGGTTGCCGCGACTCAGCAACCTGTAGTAACTTATCACAACAGCATCTATTGCACTTCTGTCCATCCTGGGAGAGGGATACCTGGCTCTTCCTGAGGTTTCTACATTTTCTCCCATTATAGTTTTGTTTCTGTAGTTTTTCCTTACTCTTATTGAGGGTTAAGGGCAGAGGATTTTGCACTTTGATAAGCCCTATCGAACAAATATTCATGAATATGGGCCATCCAAACAATTTGACTGACTAATCAAACCACCACCAGTGTTTAGACCCAAGGGGAATTCCTGTTCTACACTCTGCGTCACTCCTTTCTAATCCTGATGATCACACAGGGGTCTAAAATAACAAAGACTATAACATTCTCATTACTTCTGTGCACTTGTCAAATAAACATTGTGAATCAAGTCTCTCTTGACTGAACTGACTGTTAGTGTCTCGTGTTGTACTGAGCACAAAATGTTGACAAGTTATTTTTCATGATGTTTAAATGCACTCTTACAGTATATACTCTGGAATCAAACAAACACTAAGTTACTTCATGTTCTGATCAGGTCATGATAGCTACCAGTGAGTGTTTATTAGTTAAAGTGAGAGAAGGTCAGAGTGGAGGACACAGAAACTCCAGCTCGATACAAACCAACTGCAGCTTCTGCTCTGATCATGAAGCAGCTGATCACTTACTTGCTGCTTAAGGTGTAGAGCTCTGATCTCACTGAGTGTGTCGCTGTCTGAGAGCATTCACACACACACACACACATTTTCTCTCGCTCCTGGTATTTCACATGATGGCCTGATACGACAGATAAATAAATAAATAAATGTGGAAATAAATTTAAGACGTTTATTCATGTGATCTGTATTTATTTTCTCCAGCATTTATTAAGTTATTTCCTTATTTATTTCAGCTTTCATTTTTTTATTTATTGTTGTTATTTATGTTTGTATTTATTAATGTATACTTAAAAATGAAGACTAAATATATTTAATATCCTATAAGTCCAAAGACTAAAATGGTACATTTCAAAATTCTCAACAATATCTATCCATCCAATGAATTGCTAAGAGTGAGATTTAATATTGATAACAGTAACTTCAGCTTTTGTGACACTGGAATTGAAACTACTGATTGCATTTACTCTGTAACATTTCTGACTGGCTGTCAACTACAATCCAACTCCCTGCTCCCCTCTCAAGGTGAAATATTGTGTTTGATATTGGCTTGGGAGACATTAAGAGTGACCTGATTTTTAACAAACTGGTACCCCTGGCAAAAATTGTCATCCACACATCTAAATGGGGAAAAATGAAACATCTCAGTGCTTAAAACTAATGGTGGGGAAACCTGCAAAGTCTCTTCTCAGAGCTTATGAAGACCTTGAGATATATGAAGACCTCTATTGGAAATAAAAAATAAGTTACTGCTATGTATTTTATTTATTTACTCATTCTTTTTTTAACATGATTTTCTGTAATTTAAATGGTGCCTTTTTTTGGCTTATTATTTCAATGCCGTGATATTTGTACGATTAAAATTTTCAATAAAGAAAGAAAAAAAAGTTCTCACTTGCTCTGCGCACATAGGTCGACGCAGGGGATGGGCGGTGTTACATTAACCGGAAACGGTGTCTGCAGCGCAAGCAGATAATGAAGAGGAGAGGGACAAGCATTTTGCTCACATACACCACCATGGCACAAATGTGTGAAATAGGTATAGCGATATCCGGTGGCATGGATTCCTTTTATTATTAGTGAGCCGAGTCTATGGGACCATAGACTGTATATAAAGACAAGCCAGGACGGTCCCGCCCACTGCATTGACGACCTTTCATTGAGCGATTCAATCTCCACCGTTACCATGGAAGACTACCACGACTATAGCTGAGTAGGATAACTGCCGAACTCTCAGCCCGTAGTATTACGGTTTCAACATGCCCGAACGGCAGTTCCCCAAGAGGCCATCAGTTGCCTTTTATTGACGTTATAGCCTGCTTTTTCCATGTGGAAATTTCTTAGCAGTTGAAAGCAGGCCATCGCTGCTACCGTAAGTAGTTAGTCTTCTCAGTGCTGCAGTCCTGGGCTTTTACGTGACGTCATTATTGACATTGTTGTGTACCCATTCCCTCCTGGACATCTCAAAACCAAGTATTTCATGGGATTCACTTACGCGAAGGAGAAGCGTGCCTAAGCTAAAATGGTGAACTGGAGGCGGCTACTACGAATGTCCAACCGATCGTTTCTGGTCTTCATATTCTTCTTCTCCATGTCCACCACTTGTCTCTACTTCATTTATGTGGCTCCTGGAATAGGTTAGTAAACAGATGTTTACACTGACGCTCACCAGGGTAACTCTTAATGTTATTATGTGTGGATTAATGTGTGCTCCCCAACTAGCTGTAGTCACTGGCGATTAGCTTACAGGCTAACTCGTTCCCAGCTAAATGTCCAGCCCAGGCCATCATGTCAAGCTAACTATATTATCGTGCGATATTAGATAGCGAGCTGCTTCTCCCAGCGGCAAGTGGATTGCTATGTTGTCAAAGTATAACCCATTGTGTGGAAGTTAAGGATGATATAAACTTTAATTGACAGTTCAAAGCAGGTTTGTGAATGAATGAGCTGGCGCATCACTGCAAATGCTAATGTTGTTTGGTGGTTATCTCCAGTAAACCAAAATCTTATTATACACGGGCAACTTTGGCCAGTCCATGACTGAGATTTAAACGTTTTTCCTTTACTCAAGAGTGGATTAAGTTGTCCACTATCTTTGAATCTGCATTCAAAATCACTGTTCATGTACCCTGGAGTTTTTTAGTGCTTGAAACAATAGAGTAACTAGACGGGTACCATTAGAGCACATACCTCTGCCAAGGCATGGTTGCTTACACACATACATATAT